TTTAGAGGGTGAAGGAAAGAGGACAAGGGGAATGACTAGGAGAGGGAATCCAGCGGTTTGAACTAGAGTGGCCATCCATTTGCTATTTCCACCTTGGTCGTAATAGAATCTGCCGAGAAGCATGGCAGCGGTTTGCCCAACTAGGAGGAATAGGATGTTGACAACTACCATTAGCCACCATTGCCAACGCTTAAACTTTGAAGAGGAGGGTGCTGGTGCTGGTTGCTTGATGGCATCTTGCACTACAGTGTGACATGAAACAAAATGAGTACAAAATGTTATTGAATAAATGCGATACACTGAATTTCTTAGCATAGAGTTGAATTTTATACACGCATCAGAAACTAAAAAAATATTCAAAATTATTCTAGTATTGCTCATCTCGGTTTTACCTTTCAATTCCCGTTGGAAAGATAACACTCCAATAATTTTCAATATATAAATTGAACCAACTTTCGATTTTAGGATGAATGAAAACATTGTTTACTGATGAGTTTCCATCATTTATTTTTTGTGCTTCTTAATTCTGATCCAAGACAAAAGACTCCGCGAAATACGCTATAAATGAAGAACAAAAAGAACACCCAAGTACAATGTCCATAAACTTCTCTAATTGTCATATATTTTATCGTGGAAATTACCTGAAAACATCAGTATCAATTGAACAGCCCTAGAAACATATGAACTTTTAAAAAAAAAATACAGTAATCAAATTAATTTGCTCCTTCCCTCGATATCATCTCCATAAAATCAAAATTTTGAAATTTTAAAATTGAGCCCTCGGGCTTGCAACTGGATTCTGGTGAAATTTAGCATCAACTCGAATATTATCAATCAAAGATGGCTCATTCCCATGAAAAATTATGAAATAAATGAGAAAGGAGAAGCGCTGACCTGGGATTGAGAGAGAATCGCCATCCATTTTTTATTGCTGTGGAATAGAAAAGGAGGTACTGTCAACTTAAAAAGAATAAAAGGCAGGATTTTTTTTTTTGTCTCCTTGCTACTATAATAGAAAGTCCAAAATCTCTGATTACTAGGGTTTTTTTTTTCCCTCCCCTTTTTATTAGACTACCCAGTGAAAAAGGATAGAAAATTTCGATTCTTTTCCCGTTGGTTCGGATTTGGGAAGCCACTGAGCCCAATTAAAGGGGTTGGGCCGACATTGGGCCGAAATAGGGGGACTAAAGAGGTAAGTTTACGACAAAGTGAATATATAAATAGAACAATGTAATCAGAATATGCTTTTATAGTTTTTCGCTTTTACTCTAGAATATATGCCTTTTTTTTTTAATTTCATATTCTTAATTTTTTTTGTGAGGCTTTGATATCCCGAAGTTTATACTTTGTCGCCCTAAATTTTTTGGCACTTTATACCATAAAGTTTATCCTCCATCTTTTTTTTCCGTTTTTATTTTTTTTAACTATTAAATTCTATTACACGCATAATGTAAAGTTCACAAAGAGCAAGAAAGTATCGTTTTGATGAAAAATATATCCTCTCTATATCATTTCTTCCCCACATTTTGTTATGTCTCTATTAAGGATGAGGTCGATTTGAATAAAATGAGGACAAATAAATTTCCTTCTTCCCTTTTTTGGAGGGGGAGTCGTTTTCCTTTTTCTTTCCTTTTTTTTGGTTGAGTTTTTTTTTGTGTGTG